ATCTAAATATGATTATTTTAAAAGATAATTTTTAGTTTTTTAAATAAATTAAATCCTAATAAATCAATATTCGTTGTTTTTACTTACGTGGCAAAATTCTTAAATCTCATTCGTCACTTTGGTTTAGGTGGCAAACGAATTTTTTAAATAAAATAGAAATCTAATTTTTAATTGGTCGAAAATATACCTTTGCTTATGTGGCGCGCCGAATGCTCTCCAAAAATGCCTACTTTATTTATATTAATTAATATATATATTAGATTAGAAATTTAAAATCTTTCTAAAATATAGTTTAATCCATAAAGTTGCTTAATAAAACTTTACATGATTATAATTTTTTTTTCATGTATACTTCCTTTAGTTTTTTATTCACTTTAAATAAACACTCCCTCTATTCCAGAATAACTGAGACGTTGGACTTTTTTCACTATTCATGTATTAGCTTTGACCATAATTTTTACAAACAGAATAAAAATATATTTTATCATAAAATATGTTGGTAGATGGGTATTTATATAAAGTTTCATAATATAATTTTCATTAATATTTAATAATTATATAAAAATAAAGTCAAACTAGTGCATCAACATATGTGCAAAGTTGACTGTGTCAGTTATTCTGAGACAGACGGAGTAAATTTCAGTTCAACGTCCTTTTAATGTAAATATCATTAAATGAACATTTAGAAGAGATATCGATACAAGACATTGTCCGAACCTAAAGAGTAGATTTTATTGATTTGTGGATAAAGATATCGATAGTTAATCTATTGAAGATTGTACGAAATGAAATATGCTCTATATTATGAGATGGAAGATAGTATAATCATCTAGGTAAGTAAAAGCAGAGTGGTTAACCAAAAAATAATTAATAGTGTATATGAATAAAGCACCCACTAGTCAAAATAAAAATAACCACAACAAGCGGTTAAAACTTAAAATTGAGTGGGTTAGTACTATAAGAGATACTAATCGTAATGTGTAGTGTGACTTATACAATATTTGCGAAGCAGAAGAAGTATACATATAAATGGCGCGTGTCTTACAATAAATGAATGATTGTTGTGAGTAGTTGTGATTTGTGAGATATGACAGTTAAGGTTTTCTGTAAGTTTACTGTGGTCAGTCATCGTATACTCGTATGTTTTATTGCGATAATCAACGTAAATTGCACGGTGTAAAGTGGTAAAGCTTATAAGTTGAGTCAGTCCAAGATTCTCCCTTAAATTATGTGCCTATTGCTTAGGAAATGTTCATCTAATGTCTAGAATTTCGGCTATCACTTCACAATTTATTTTATTTACATAACTCCGTATTATTTAAGTTAATTTACTCTAGCTGAAAACATTATAGGAGAATCAGATAATTATGGCAGTTGAAGCTAGAATGCGATTGTATAATTAGAACTAAAATTATAATTAGACACTATTAAGATTCGCATGTAGTGATCGTTAAACACAAGCTAACAAAACTCAAATACCAAAGTTAAATGATAAACACCATTGCAGCAGTACAATAATATAACAATAAAGTCTATATTGCCTCGTTATTTTTCATTTAACTGTTACTTCTTGTAGGTTTGTGAGTCAATAAATTATTGAAATGTGTGAATGGATGTAAGAAAATGGTGAAAAAAGTTAAATAAGGCAGAAAAGAGAGAAACATGTAAATATTTATTGTACTCCGTAAGGTATGATAAATAATACCGTAAAATAAACCTAGTCAAAAATAGAATAAAGTACTTTTTATAAATGTTACCCGTATAAGATAAATCACTACACGAGATATGTTAGGTTTGGAGTTCATCAGATCATATATATCAAACTAAAGATAATACATCTAGATGTATAATAGAAGGATCAAGAAGCAATCTACCTCCGTTTTTTCGGGAGGAGTTTGAAGAGGTTCTTGACAAGTTGACATGTCATGGCTCCACAATTGACAACATAACTACCGGTGCCGCATAGTGCTGCTAAGAATGGTTTTCGGCGCTAAAGCTTAGCCATTGTATGCATAAATCTAGGCCTCAATGAATGCCGCCATTTGTGGTCCATTCGTTACTCAAGCAATTAGCTATTTTCGATTATTAAATTTCCAATTTTCATAAATAATGTACGTGTACTAGCTACTGTACCATGTACCTTCATTACTTCATCAGGATATGCATGCATGGGACGTAATAATGCAATGTAACATTGTTTCTTAATTTGTCCATTACAACGTCTCCATTCATTTTAATTAGTGTTTTTATATATAAATATATAAATACATTAAAAAGTTGAGTGCTACGAGAGTGATGGTTAAAATTGTAAATTTAACGTCAAGTAATGAAAATGAGTGATGTGATATAACTACAAGTGTAATGGTGTATAAAGACACAAAAATGGGATAGGGGGATTCAATTTGAGATTGAGCTTCGAAGCTAAAAATATTTAGTACGTAGTACTTTGTATGATTTCAATAATTTAGTTGACATGAAAAAATAAATAAAATAAAATTATTCTAACGAGCTGAGCTCTCCTAAGGTGTTAGAAAACCATTTAAAATATTTTCTTAAAAAATATAATTTGGGAATGCATGTCAAAATTACACGTTAATTGGTGTAATTAATGCTTGTCTTTATTTAATATTTTAGTTTTAGTAATTTTATCCAATGCCACCGGGACTAACTTGAAAGATATTACTCTATATTAAATTAAGTTTGTCGTTAGCTGGTTCACAAACTTGTAGCTTAAAATTACAATATTTTCAAGAATATACGAAGTACTACGTATTACACTATTACCTATATATCCATATTACTTCATATTATCAAACCTGATCAGAAAATTTCAAACTATACTACTAGCTAGAATAAATCTTACTCCATCTGTCCCAAAATAATTGATACAGTCAAAATTTGCAAACATGTTGATGCACTAATTTGACCTATTTTTATATAATTAAGTATTAATGAAAATTATATTGTCTAGAATTTTATTTTACTAAATTTTTTGAAAAATAGATTTAGTAAAATACACGATAAAACAAATATAGCAAGACTTCAACTGAAAATGTTTATTTTAAATATATTAGTGTACAAATATTGTCATACTACTACAATCAAAACATTTTAGTTAGGATTGCACAAAAGTTGAATCCTGTTTCGGGTACGGTTTGATGACTATCGAGTTCTCAACTAGGGTTCTGAGTCGTGAGTAGCAATGATAAGTGAAATTTGGGTTGAGATTGTCGGGTCATCTTAGGTTAGGATCGGATAGCACAAAAGCAAGATAATAAGTGACCAAATAATAAAATGAGAAGGATAACAAAGTAAAGAGGGGCCATGTGAAGAAGTAGTGGGAATGTGAGATGTGGGAATGAAGTGGGTTGGCGCAGGGCAGGACATGAATTGAAGAAATGGAGAATTTTAATGGCATGTTTTGTTTTCTAAGATTTGACTGTGTCTTGTCTGGCCCCACTTCTCATCTCTTTCCCACTCCTGATTTTTCTTATTCTTGTACCCTTTTCTAAGTTTTGTAAATTGTGTATAATGTGTTTGTAATTGGATTTTGTAATCAACTTGGTTGGTGATTAGAGAGGTTAATGAGGCCGCTTAATTGAATACTCTACGTCTTTACTAGATCGAGATTATGTATGGTGTGATTCATTTGAAGATGTTATAGCTTTGGAGTAATGTCTTGCTTTTAATTTTGTGACATAAAAGCTAAGTTGATTGTGGAGGGAGAATATCTGTTATTTTTGAAATTGCTACCCACCTGAAGCCTAATGTCGATCTCTTTATTATGTACATTGGTTTGTGATTGACAAGGATGTGAGTAACTCGAGTATGGTATGTTAATGTTTAAACTCATCTAACTAATAGTCAAACTTAACCTATCATTCAAGTTTAAAATTATGTTTGGGCTTGTTACGATTAAGACCAGGGTTCCAATTTTGAATTTGATTTGTTTGCGTGCTAATCATACCAATTTAAAAGCGAGTTTCAAAACACATTATGATTTATTTATCGCAAGCTATTTAGTTACAAGCATAAATAATAACCATTTGTCCAACAAAACTTTTTCAAATTACATGAATTATTCATAAACTTATAATATACTCGATTTGTTTATGTTCAAGCTCAATTCAAAACGAGCATTCAACTTTGTTCATTACTCCATAATAAAAACAGAATTTTGGCAAAACTCGAGATCTTTACCAAAATTCTCCGAGGTTACATATATGAGGCAAATTATTGATTACAACCTATCACAGATGCTTGAGAGAACCACATCAAGAAGATTAGGCCAAATTTCTCAAGAGCTTTGACTGGTGCAAGAATGTTGGAAGTAGGGTGCTAATTGAGCGAGGTGATTGCTAGCCTGAGTTTAAGTTTCTCAAGAGCTTAATTTGATACCTTATTGATTACAAAAGTCAATTTCAAAGCTTGTAGCTCAGACTTAATTCTTCCAAAACTACGATTTCATAAAGAAAATCTCTCAAGTTTCCTAGCCGCAGTTACAAAATACGTCATACATACAAAGTAGCAACTACGAGTGTCGAGTATTACACATATATATGTGCCGAATCCATCATAGACGTTGCGTACTTATATAACACTTATTCCATATCATTCGGTTTTGTTTTGTATGAATAATTCTATAACATTAAAGTCTATAACTTATCCCCGTGACATCCTTGGCAATACTGTATCTATCAACGGGACCAAGAGGGATTCTTTTGGGGTTGCCCATTGCACACTGGACATTGAGATGATTGATAGCAAGTTAGCAACAAATTTTATTTTGATCAATTGGCGTTAATAATATGCACAAAATATTCATGTACGGTTAATTTATCATTAACTACCCTGGCCTTTCACGAATTGTCATCTTGTTAAACATGAAGGCGAGATGTAGATAGTAGGTGCACTTAAGTGTACTAAGAAGAGTTAGAACTGGTGTACAACTTGTACTGTATGTAACTCTCGACCATCCATTGAATTAAAAAATCACGTCGTTTTCACAATAAATTTATTATTCATTATTCATTAAAAAGTAGAAGGTACTCTTAACTATACAGAGTGACGGGAGTGTACAACTTTAATCCGAAGCTTGTAAGATATGCGTTTATTCGTTATATATAACGTATCATTCAATGGCATGTCATGGTACTAATAACATAAATACTTGACATGCATGCATTAATTTAAAGCATTATACTCCAACATGGTACAAAGTGGAGTAGGTTACTGGTAATTGGATTGCTGTATTTTCTCCTTAGGAATAGTGATGGTGAGCACTCCATTGTTATCCACAGAGCTCCTCATATGCTCGGGTTTGGCATTAGGAGGTAACGTGAACTTACTCATAAACTCTCCATAACCGCGCTCTACATGATGATAATTGTCTTTCTTTTCCTCATTCTCACGCTTCGATTTGGCACTGACATGGATCATCCTCCCACCCTCCTCTAGTTTCACCTTCACATCCTCTTTTCTCACCCCCGGAAGCTCAGCCTTGAAGTGATGAGCTTCGGGGGTTTCCTTGTACTCAATCTTAGTCCTAGGCACCATTCCCCTCATTTCCGGTAGTAGTGGCCGTGGAGGAGGCATGAGTGGTGGTGCTCGGAAGGCTGGGAAGTCGAAGGGAAAGTCATCCCAAAAGTAAAGGGAGAAAGGATCAAACACTTCTAGAGGGCGGCCAAAGAAGCCGCGTTGATATGGCATCATGGATTGCATTTTTATGGGTTAGGGTTTTAAAGCTTAGAACTTTGAGATCAAATTTGATATTGAGTTGAATTTCGCACACAAGTTGGATTGTTTGCTGCAGACAAATAGGGTTATATATAGGGAAAAATAATGAGAAAAATGGGTTATTAAGAATTTAAGATCATGTTTTGTATGCGTTATTTGCAAGTTGTGATGGATAATTAAGGATCTTGTCCTTGCCGTGGAACCTACCAGCACCTTCTAAGGATCGAATTTACTTTTTAGGTGTATGCAAATTGTACCATGAAATGTGGGTAATAAAATAAAGGAATAAAGGGAGAGCACCGCACTACTCGAAAAATTTAATCCAAAAATAAAAAACTCAACAGAAGTTCGATTCCCACCTTCGTTTTCCAAAGTCATGTTTGAGTATTGGTAGGTCGGTAAGGCTTGTACTTTTCACCTTATGAAATAGCATACAATAAAATTAGTGATTTTAACATAATTCAACTTCGATAATAATTTGACAAAGGGAATAAAACTTTATCAAGCACAAAATTGTGATTTACTTTTGGATAACATGTTCATTGACTAGCCTTTGTACGGAGTTTCCTTATGGTTTGAGAACCTATATTTACTTAACACGGGCAACATATCAAAGGTTGTGACCTCTAATCAGGTAAATTACAATGCAAGTATATAATGAAACCGAAATCAAGTGTGTGTCTGTTTTTTTTTTTTTTTATTTATTTATTTTTTTTTACCCTAATCCATCAACCAAACAGAAGGATATAGAAGGAACAGAGAATCACATCTGATATACTTTGTGTTAGAAGGTGGTATGTTATATGCATTTAAAAAATTATTGTCAAGCAGAATCAGATTCTCTCTTCTTTTATTGTTTTTAATCAATTCAAATTTATTTTAGTTTTTATCTTTTGTTTTTTTGGGGAAGGTTGAGAGGGAGTTGTCTATAATTGGTTGCATCTAATCTAGATGTTACGGCCAATATAAATTCAGTGAATGGGGTGAGTTCTTTATCTAACTTATATTCCAAATCAAATGTCATAGACGTGACTGCATGATGCAGGCATTAGAAAATAATACTAACAGATACAGTTTTGCCATTATTTGTTGTTAATTATACAAATTATGATTTGCTAAAGACTATAAATCTATATCATTTTTCTTTCGTGCCAAGCTATCTTAGTACTATTACAAATTCAGATATTATAATATGATTTAGTGTAATGTTATGTCATATGATGTGATGCTTTTCAATAATTAGAAATTACGAAGTAGATAATATAATCAGAGCTGAATGTAAACCGGTTCTAGTGATTTTGATTACTTGACACTGCGGCATTCATCAGCGTGAGTTTGTTCATTATTCATCAGGAGTTGCATTGCAATTTTACTTTACTTCCCAAGTAATCACAAATTATTCGCAATTTTGGTTTTACCATCACTAATTCACCCAAAGGAAAAAAAAAAAATAAAAAAAAAATCTGCTGACAAATGCAGCGTAAAGCTCCAAACTTAACAATTCAAGTGTTCAACACAAACACAAGAACAAAGAATGCATCATATTTTGGAATGCCCAATTCCAAAATTCGATAACAGACGCCCATCAGACTTCAAATAAAGCCCACTTCCAAAAATTAAATACCCTATCGTATGTCCAACAACGGCTGCTATGAATATACCGCCATTGTAAGACATAACAGCCAATATTACCATGTAAGCCATCCCAGCTCGGATAGCTCGCATCCCGGTTCTAAAAAAGCAGGCTGCAACTTGGTTTGGGCCGGGTTTAATGATATGGCAATAGGCGAGACATTCTACCAAAATGGCTAGGGAGAAGACCAACAACACAGCCACAACATACATACCAGTACTTGTACCAGGCCAGCCAGGGAACAGAATCTGATGTGCTTTGCCCCAGTAAAATGCCGTGTGGAACGCCATCTTGTGGGTCCCAGTAGGAATTGAAGATGATGGTGATGGGGATAGCAACGGGGATGGAAATGGGGACAGCGGTAGTGGAGGTAGTGCAGTGAGATTGTGATGGTAAATCTGGTGATGAATGGTTTTGAAGAGATACTGCATTATAGTTTAGCACTAGCAGTATTGCCTATGATGACTAGGGTAGGGATTTTATATGATCAAAGGCGAGTGATATTTAATTGACACCAGAGGGTTTCTATATAGAATTTTGATTTCTGTTTATAGGAATATAGTTTTAATCTAATAAACTGTTGCTATGTACACTTTATTTTAAAGTAAAGGATTGCTCCTTCTAAAAGAAAAGGGTTATATAAATAACAGATTCTTATTTGCAAATTCAGCAATATATCACTCTGTATTATAAACTAATTGATCAATACTAATTAGTATTACCAAACAAAATCTTAATACAATAAGTCTATAAAACTATCATAACTACGGGTCTTTTCTCTTTATGTATGTTTTCGTTCTTTTTCCCATTAAAATATAAAGAAGCAAAGGGTGAAAGCTTAAAATGAAAGACATAATCTAAAATGTACCAGACACCGAGAAGCTTTTTCAGCAGGAAGAATTCTATCTTATGCTTGCACCGAATGTGAATGTGCTTTTTCACAAGGAAATGAGCTGCCATAAAATGTGGTATTAGAATAATAAAGTAGGGATATAATGTCAGGAAAAGATTTGTGCTATCTCTAGACTGCAAGCAACGCATAAGTAATTTTTTTTTTTTTTTATTAATTAAAAATTTAGATTAGAAATGCTAGTGTTGTAGCAATTACTCGTAGTTTGTACTTCGTACAAGATTTTGCTCACATCATGCTTACAATTTAGTAATTTACCAACCAGGACTTAACAGATACATAAATGGAATTGGAGGAGCCAACAATAACTAAAAAGGCCTTCCAGCTTCTTCCATCAGCTTCTTCACTCTTGTAAGCTTCTCTATCTGCGACAAAACCTGTAATATATCACATCTAGAGGAGGTTAACACTTACTCATGGTCTACAAATCAGGGGGTTGTCAAATTTAATATGTGCATTTTAGTTTACTTGAGCCTTTGATCTACCCCGCCCTGTTTTTACAGGGTTTGAAAGTAAATTAAACCCAAAAGAAAGTTAAAAAAAATAGTGGGGGGTAGCTATAGGCTTCTATCATATTAATAAACAATAAAGCTTGGAAAATCCAGCAAGTGAAACTATTCACAGAAAGGAGACTAGAGTTGCTGAATAAACAAGCGCATGAGAGGAGGAGGAGAGGGTACCTCCAGTGCCATGTCTTCTGCAGTAACTTGTTCATATTCATCATAAGCAAGTTTGGTAGCCACCGCTGTCAAAAACAAAAATCATAGGAAAGAAATGAGAAAATAAGTAAAGTTTGCAATAATATCTTACAACATAAGAACAAAGTGTAGTAAGTTTACTTTGCACTGAAATAGTTGCATCTGCCGTAGCATATCCACCTCTGTTCTCTTCACAAAGCAGAGTTAACTGATCCAAAGCCTGACATAATTTTTCAGCATTAATGTTAATACAGTGGGAAATACGTTTGCTTAGAAACCTGACATTGCCTAAAAGCGAGAGTTGCTCCTAAGAATCAAGTGATGGAAGAATCAGACCTCAGAGAAGGTATCTGGAGTAGACGTAGTAGATTGTTCATCATCTCTAATGGACTCTTTTGCTATAATGTCTAAAGGAACATCTATCCATATTGTGATTCCATGTCGTAGTAGAGCCCTTCACAATTATTCAGGAAACAGTTCACAAAACCGAACATGTATTTATGGGAAGTGAAATAACATGATGTGCACAAGAGCATTACAAGGACAACCACAAATACATCCTTACAAATTAGTCATACTCTGAACTGCACCATTTCCAGCATTGACTATTAGTCGGCCCAATGATGATAATTGCTTCAACACTTCAGTCTGTGAGAAAAAAATAATATTATAGCAATTTCTAGGTCTTAACTGCCTAACTAATTAAACATTTATTACACTGACAAACAAAATTCCATAGAATAGGTAGAAAATGTGGCAAACATAGCCACTGCTTGATGGAACGGGTGGATTGTGCATTTGGTGTATCAGCTTGACATATATGCTTACACAATGAGAAAGACCAGACTAATAGCAACAACGCCACCAATAGCTCATTTTGTATCCTTAGGTCATGGCTAATTTCTTAGGCTCTTAGCTAACCTCTGGGGATGTTCACAGAGGGATGGTACCAGATAACTATTCAAAGTTCAAACTGAACTATAAACATGAAAAGGACCTTTTGAGACGCTCTTCACCTTCTTTAAAATTTTCTTATGTATTGTGCAATATCCCAGAGACAAAAACAACTAATGCTAATCATGTCAATGTACCTTTCCACAGTACTTTCTTCCTTGTAATTAATACTGTCCCAAAAGTGTTGTCCATATCCACTGTTTACAAGTACCAAATAATAGTTTATTGAATTAATTATTGAGTGAAATTTTACTAATATTGTATTAGTAAAATGAAAAAGGGACAGATGCCTGAGTGAACTCTAATGATAGACAAACAATTAGGGGTGCAGGAAGCAAAGGCTCTTGCTATCATTAACAAAGGTCCATTAGGTTTAGATTGAGGGGAAAGGCTTGCTTTGGTTCTTCCGTCTACGGTGAATTTGTGCTTTGGTGCGATTAGTGATTAGATGATCTGAATCTACATGATTCAAAATGATAGTATCAACCCTCTCCTTTTCCTTTCCTTTTTTTTTCTTTCAATAGAGGGATCTAGTTGGGCTCTATTGATCAAAGTAGAGTCTCCTTCATGCTTGGCACTTGATGGATCTAGATACCAAGCATCTTATGTGAAAATATGGACAGTTCTTATTAAGCTCGCATAAGAGTTTTTCCTATGCTTCTAGAGGTCAATCACATTTCTCAGGGATTAGTATACTAGGCAAGGGGTTACTTCAAGTTCGACAAACTCAAAGCTGATAATACATATTTTAAGAAGGTTTCTTGACATGGGACCATAATTTTGCACTTCTAACACTAAAAAAAAAAAGAAAAAGAAATATTAATAGATAATAAGTCATGATAGCGCATAGAAATTTTATTCTTAAACACCACATAAGTATCCAGTATCCCACAAGCTGCTGATGAAAAACTACCTCCGATTTTTGAAAACCATCTTCATCCCTCTCTTTAAAAGATTTGCCGGAAGAATCCTCAGCAGCAGCCTCCTCAACTACATTGTCACTGAAAACGACCACAAAACCGAATAAGAAACAATTTAAGTGCATCTGACTTCAAGTTGCAAATGGCATATTAGTCAGAGAGGAAAAAGAAAATGAGTTAACCTATCAAAGTAGTAATAGCGTAACTCATCTGCAATAAGCTTGCCCACACTGGTCTTCATTGCACTCTTCATACCTTTGCATAAGTATTTATACATAAGACATAGAGACCAACATATCAGAATCATGATTGAGTGTACATCATCCAAGAACATTTTTAAAGTGCAACTGAGGCCTACCCACGAGAAATATTGACGTTCCTTTCAGGTCTGCGCATATATCTGTTGCCTTCTTCTAAATTAAGACTGAAACAGTTAACAATAAGCACTGGAAATCACAAGCTAAATAATATCTTGATCATAGTTAGATTGCAAAATAACTAAGAGCACAAAAAGGAGGAAAACCTTGCACATATATAACTTATTTAGGATCAACTTCCCACCAAAAAAGAGCAACTTACATCAAGACATGATTTCATATAAGATGTAACTACATACATCATGTAGAAGCTGACAGGACAGTTAGCAAAACATCTAATTCTGCATCACTATCATTCAAAATCCAAAATATTTTCATAATCATTTCCAAAGGAGGTACCAAGTAGGCTATTATATATAAGGATTTGACAGTTCAATATACTTCATATTGTTTAGGAGGTCATATTAAAAGCTATACTCAAGAATTGCTCTTTGTATATGATGCAAGGATTTAATTAGTTAATTTTCATACAAAATGAGTTGTTGTATGTGATTTGTATATGTTATACATTCATAAGGTATTGGTGGCTACTAGCTAGTCGCAAAAACAGATTAATTGTTATACATGGGAGCATGGTGAGGTATGAGGATGGAAATTTTGCAGGGTGATGTTGAAAATTAGCCACCAAAATGTGCAGGAGTCTAAACCCAAATGGTAAGAGACACGACTTCCTTAAAGAGTGCCTATATCTACACTCCTAGGTGTTCAAGCCGGGATCGAGCACCATAAGTCAAAGACATCACTCGTTTGATACAGCAAAGACAGCCACCACAGCCAGCCATGCCCATCGCCGGAAACTCCTCAGTGTTACATCCACCAAGAATTTTCTATTTTGCAAATCAATATTCCAAATTCATTGTCACATCCTAACAATGATGACTACTTACAAGTCCTAATTTTTTTGGTTTTTGTATTAATTTGATTAAATACGGTTCAATTTGGAAATTTGATACAAAAAAGTGGATAATTAAGAACAATTAGAGCATAATACAAGGAATAAAGGTCATAAAAGCACCTTTAATGCAAGGGATCCACGAGAATTAGCAGGTTCGGTTGCCAAATTTCCTGAAAATAAGATTCAGAAGCATAAATACTCAAAAATGTCCAAGAAAAAGCAAAATTCAGTCTTTGAACAAATTAAAAACACAGCAGAGCACCATAATTTACCCAATCTAAAATAACCATCAAAATCTTCAATTCTAATTAAAAAAGGGGGGGGGGATAAACAACAATTCAACAGACAATCATCATGCAATAAACGGAAATTCGTAGAAATTGAAAAGAAAAACATAAGAAAAGAGATAATGAAGAGTAGTAAGTAACCGTCGGAGAGTGAGCGAGTAGTGGTGAGTTGGTTCTGCCATTGATGGAAGTAAGTGAGAGGTCTGAAATGAGAAGAAGAAAGAGGAAATTGAAGAGATGAAGTTGGTTTTGAAGGAAGAGAGCTGCCCCTGCATATACACTGGATTGCTGGGCGAATCCTTATCTCCATTTCCACGAACTTTGCTCAAAACGATCTCTTTTACTTTTAATTCCTTTTGGATAATATTTATACATGTCCGTGAGTCCAATAGAATTCCTTTTATGGCTCACTTTTCTCCTTGTGATAGTCCACAAAAGGAGTGTACCTACAGAGGATGTTTTATTAATCATACCAAGTATTATGTTAAACATATTTTTCGCAATTACAACATAAATAAATTTAGAGGAGATAGTAGGCAACTTTGAGGTTACAAGGTTGAGCTCCATTTATTTGGAAGTAAAGAGGGTCCTTTTTACCTTGTGAAATTACGGAGTAATAATTTACACTTAATTGATTCATAACAACGAGTTGATTGGTAAATTGATACATAAAACTCCTTAATTGTATGTAAATTAATGCATTTTTATCAAGTAAACAATACTCCATCAACAATAACCATACTAAATTTATTTTTATGACTTTTTTTTTTTTTTTTTTACTTTCATGAAACTCTACCGTGTAAACCTTGCACTCACGTTAAGAATCATATGTCATTGTAGTAATCAATTCTCTAACTTGAAACGCTTTTTGGGGGGATCCGAATGAGCCACAACGCCCACAACTCCATAAGAGCATTACAAATTATGAAAGGCCAATTAAAGTTTCACAAAAATTTCTGCTTACAAAATGACTATCAACTATGTTCTGCATCAAAAACTAGTTAATTTTTAAAATTGTTGCCCACCCCAAACTTTACATGTAATCCCTCCTCAGTTGTCACTTCTAAAGTTATTCACTAATAATTTTCTGTTTTACACAAATCACTAATCAACTCATACACTTGCTGGTTTGCAACTGTATTTATAATAAAATGTAGGTGACCGTCAGCTGATATTAAAACCACAAAGGTAACACTACTTATACAATTGCATAGTTACACTTCACATGACACAATTAATTTGCCATAATGGCCACGACAAAAGAGTCATACTAACCACATTTTTTTTGAGGAAAACTCATCCTAACCACATTTAAGACCTGATAACTTGTAATTGACTTATGTTATCATACTTTCTTTTCGTTTGTTGTAAACTTAGTTTAATTAATGTAATTTCAGCCATTTTCAAAATAAAAATAAAAAAATAAAAATAAAAATAAAAATAAAAAAAATAAATAAAAACCTTACAAACAAATTATACAAGCTTTGGTGTGTGAAGATAGTATTTGAGAAATGAAAGTGTAAAGATAAACTAATACTCCGTACTTTTTAAAACAGGTTCACTCTAAACCCTTAAAAGGTTTGCCTTGCCCCTTAACTGGACGATAGTATAAAAACTTAGCCTATTTATTTATTAGACGGATGTAACCCATTAATAACTGTGGCGGGTCATGGGTCATGGCTTTTAATAGGGATCCAAGGCGTCCAACCCATTGAATTGCTCTATTGAAGCGCATTCAACGTTCTCCATTGAAGCGCAGTTGCCGTTCTCCGTTGAATCTAGTTCTTGTATCCCCCATTGAAGCAGCTTCTGAGGTAAGTTGTTTGTATTTGTTATCATCATATCAAATATCCCGAAAATTATGAGATAATTGAATCAAATATCCCTAAAATAATGAGATAATTGAATCAAATTTGGTTGCTAATGTATTGCACAACACTTTAATGTTAGGATTCAACTATGAAATCAGAGCTCTTTTCCCTGGCCCAGGGCTGCCGCCCCACCTGCCCTTCCTCAGGGACGGACCTGGGAACAATGAAATTTGCCCTCTTGATGGGAAATTATAGGGCTATTACTTCCTTTAATTGTACCCAATAAGATGAATTACAAATCAAGTGTATAGTGGAAACTAATTATCCAAAATAAAATTCGAAACTTTTTCCCGTTTTTAATTCCCCTCCCGTTTGTCCCATTAAGAGTTTGTCAGTTGTTACATGAAAAAAAGTGATGAATTTGTATAGTATTCTCCTTTTTGCTGTAGGAAACAAGGTTTTGTTATCAGATTATGTGCTTGTTAGCTAATAGTTAGCATATGTAAATCAATGTATAACCATATGTATGCGATTATTATTAGTTTTTGATACATTGGAGGATCAAACTGCGCCCCTTCTTTGTTCGGATGGATTTGTTAGTGTTCTTGTTTGCTATGCTTTTGATCTTTTCATTGATGACTGCGTTGTTTGGTTTTCCTTTATGCCATTGTTGTGATAGATGTCACTCCAAGAAAATTTAGCAAGGTTTCGGAAACAGCAAGAGAAGTGTCAGTCAACTCTTTCGAGTATTGCTTCTGAAAAACAAGCTTCAACCATCTATAAATGCAAGGCCTCCTGTCAAATTTTCAAATGATACCCGAGAGGCTTCAGATCATTAATAGCATAAGGAAGGCTCCTGCTGGAGCTCAAATAAAGCGTGTCATTGATCTGCTTCTAGAGGTACGCTGGGTATGCATGCTGTTGTGTTACACTTGTACCTGTCAGGTTATGAACTGAGTTATGGCAAATTGCCAAGAGAAATATATTAACTAATAGATGATAGTATTTTGTTAACCTTGAATGTGTTTAAGCAAAGACAAGAACATAAGTAGTGAAATAATCCTGCATCACATGTTGGCTGGATATTCTGCTTAATGTCTTTGGGTTGGTTGCAGCGGAGGGAAGCCTTAACTCCTGAGCAAATCAATCAAGTATGCCATGTCGATGTTTATGCAAACAAAACTGTGTTTGAAAGTTTGAAGAACAACCCAAAAGTGAGCTATGATGGGCAGTGTTTCTCTTACAAGGTAGGCCTCAGTGGTTGATTTTTATTTATCAGCTCATCGGGTTTGATAGTGAAACCATTTATTCTCCTACCAATTAAATAGTTTTGAGTTCCCTTATCCTTACAGTCAAAGCATGAAGTTAAGAACAAGGACCAATTGCTTGTCTTAATACGGAGATATCCAGAAGGCATGCCAATCGTTGACTTAAAGGATTCTTATATAAATGTGATGGAGGACTTGCAGGTAACTAATTTTTCTTCTCAACCTTTCCTTCCTAGCCTTTCTTCAGCATCATTGGAATAGTAGTTTCAATTTGCCAGTGGATTCTTATATATATATATGTGTCCTCTCTGTGACGTACGCATATAGTTCATCTTTATCAACGATTAATGGTGAAGAGTGGATTTGCTACCATAATATCTGACGTTTACTCATTTGCAATTTTTCTCAAAGTTGGTTCATAGGGAAAATAAACTCCCTTATTCACATTTAATTGAGGTCAATTACCTTATATTATATATGATGCATGGCATGGTTTCTACATGATTTATGGCAATAAATCCACCCAAAATTGGCACTTGTAATTTTTCACTAGTTAGTCAGTTACTAGTCTTATTATGTATGTATTTTATTTATTTCTCATTTGTTGGTATTAGGCTTCATACATGTACTTTTACCATTGTAATTTCTTTTCTTTCAGAAGAAAAGGGAGTTGATAAAATTAAATAATGAAGAGTGCTGCCAAGGAACTTGTAAAAGGAATGAAATTATAACTCTGTGCTGGTTGATTGAGGTAACGAATTCCACTCCCTGCTTAACCTTCTTTTCCCTATAATCTCCCATCAATCCAAAAAGTTCCCCAATATTGTGAGAAGATATAGCAGTATGGGGAATCTAGGAAAGATGTTCTTGATGCTGAGGAAGTGGACAGTAATTAGGAGATGATGACTAATTCATGATGATGGTGTGGAAAAAGTCAAGGAGACTAGTTTTTTTGTGAGGAGTTGGCTAGTTGATTGCTGATCATTGGATTTGTATGATGTTAACTCCACACAGCTAAGGACATGATTCAGGTGGTGGTGGTTGGGGCGGGCGTGTAATCGATAGTTGGAAATTAGGGTGGTGGTTACAGTTTGGGAATGAGGGAGGTGAGTTTGTAGAGAGGAGAATAAATATGAAAAAATTGGCATTTTGGGGTAGAGGATCTGGAAATTGCAGAAAATGGTGTGGAAGAAAAGAAGTGCAAAGATGACGTAGTCGGTAAATGGTGGGTTATCTGATTTATTTTTACTGCAGTTTTTGTTTTATTTTCTTAAGTGTTAGTGGAAGATTTAAGAAAACTTGGAGGGTGACGAAAGTGATATGAGTCTTTTGGGGGTTGAGGAAAATATGGTGTTGGATAGGGTGGGGTGTTTTAGAGAAAGTACACCGAGGACATGTCATGACTTTATATATGTATATATACTCCTTGCAACTAAACTCATTGTGTTTTGCAAATTATATACGAAGTATATATTTTTCCTTTGTTATGGTTTTCTACTTTTTTTTTAGTGATTTTACTTGCATGTTTTTCCTCTCTTAATCTCTCCTTAGCCTTTTTATAAAACTTTGTCAAATTTCATATTTTATGTCCTCTTGTTGGGTTTTCACTTTGCACCGCTTTTCTCTCTCTCTCTCTCTTTTTATTTTTTATTGTTTAAAATCACTATATTTTTTCTTGGTTTTCACTGACTTTCATTTTATCACTTATCTTTCTTTGCTCCATTTTTTGCGGATGGTACCTTTTGAAGATCCATATTAGCTGACCCCAAATCATTTTGGGAACTTTTAATCTTTTATTGTTACGGTGAGTGAGATTTATTGCTTCTATATAGTACTTGGACCCTTTTGCCTCAGCCTCAAATCTGATAAGGTACATCCAAGGTTCATCCCTTGACACAACAAACTCATATGAGCCTTTGCGTAATTCAACTCCTCATTGCCCTGTTCTTCGAAATAACTTTTCCAGAGGCAGTGGGTAATTTTGAGTATCTCATCCCTCTACATGTAAGCCCAAGCTGTAGGAACCCTATTACATTTGGTTATCTCATGCCTTGTGAAATACTGATTAATAGAAAGTTTTGTTAGGACTAATTTGCCTTAGTGAATAAGTTAAGGGGGCAATTGGGTACCTTTATACTTCAACGAGTATACCAGGTTCAGGGGGTAATGAACCACTTTCCTGTTATTTTTACTGGTCATCTCTCATGTGTTATGTCAACTAAATTTAGCATTTTGGTAGTTTTGCTTTGAATCATTTTTATTTAAATTTGAAAGCATCCTCCTTAGTTCCTGTTGTTATTCTGCTTTTCCCAAGTTCTTTCTCCATTAATGCAAAATATTATTCAGTTTGTTGAAGCTGTAAGCTGTTCATGGTGGAATTCAGTCAATAGTGATTCTTAGCTTAATGGATTGCAAAGGATGGATCACATTTATTGGTTTAAAAAACAGAATTTCAACCTTGTTTTACTGTTAGTCTGTCATTGATTTCAAAATTTTGAACCTTATTTTACTGCTGGAAAACCTGGCTGATAGTGGTATTTTCTCCATAGGCCTTGAAGGCCGATCGAAAAGTTTGGCTGCTCTCAAACTTTGATTCACAGGAAGATATAGTATATCCAAATGATCCCCGAGTTCCTATTAAGGTAGATGATGATCTGAAACAACTCTTCCGAAGCATTGAATTGCCTCGCAATTTTCTTGATGTTGAGAAAGAACTTCAGAAAAATGGAATCAAGCCTCTTACGAACACTGCCCAGAGAAGGGCTGCAGCACAGATTCAAGGCGTTTGTATGATTAGTTTTGTACTAATAATTTTATTTTCATTGTACTCTCATTATCTCATAGTGTCTCTTGATTGATATTAACTAAAGAAACATATATAATAATAAAATTTTTAATCAGAAGTATTATTGTTTGATTAATGTTTAGTGATTTTATTATAAATTATTTTGTATTATACAATTTATCATTTAATGCATCCGTATATGTAGGCTAATGTTTTCCATCACATGTACGTTGGGTTTGGATTTGGCTTTTTGGTTGATGTAATTTATATTTCTAAATCTCATATTTGATATGATGGCGTTTTTTTTTGTTTTTTTTTTTTTGGGATTAGAATATATTGCAATATATTTACTTATGATTTTATGTTACTAACATAATACAATTTATATCTACACATGTTTTGATTTGAAAAATACCTAAGAACAATTTAAATACACAATAGTAAAATTGTTTAATTGAAAAACAGATACCTTGTATTTAACCAACAAAGGTAACCCGTGATAATATTACTGTAATTTGTAAAAGAATGCTATTGATATTTCAAACAGTAACAAAATTACACTTCAATTGATCTTAATGCATCTCATTTCTGGAATATATAACAGTAATCCTTGTCCCAGAGCATCCAACCTCCATCTTCAACATTTCATTTACAAGCATCCAACCAAAATGCAAGTATGCAACCTAAGAAAGTAAGAATTATTCCCCTCTGAATCTCTTATCTTTCTCAACATATATAGTCCTTGAGAAAGGTCATACACAGTGGTCTTGAACCTATTAGAGCTAGAGCTCAGCAATTCGCCAAATTATAGCAATCTTTCTTGCTATGATTAAAACTAAACATCATTTTTTTTTCAAACCTAAACGTTTTCCCCTGTCGGGGAAAAGAAAAATTATTCACTTAAAATACAAAGGCTAAATGTTACAACTTACAAGGACTGTTACATACAATTGCCCCAGATGTGAATTTGCAAAGGCTACAGCTGATGAAACAAAATTGCAATTTATATGCCTACACAAGACAGGGAACCTAATATATACATAGCTGCGCCCATCACAAGAGGCAGATAAATTAGTACCTTTTGTCTTGGGAACCAAACTGCGTAAACTTCTTACACCTGAAACAGGTAAAAATTAAAATTAAAATTAAAAAAAAATACACTTAGAATTTAGAATGTTCACCAGTTGACACATGGAAATAAAAAAAAAAAATGTAATTGCCATTAACAGAATATTTTACTATGAGATTGATGTATGCAGTCAACTAGGCAAGTACTTAATTGTTCAACCTTGTGGATGGACATCATCACATCATACACAAGAGCACAAAGGATTATCTAAAAAGAAAAATGTCCTACTCTGCTAAAAGAACTTCTATAATGACAAATCAGTTTGAGTATAATAGAATTCAGAGGTGCCAAAGGATTATAAGTCGTATGTTTATGTAAAGATGAAAGGCTGAAGAGTCGCAGAATGCAGAGTAAGTTAGCCGCCTAAAGCTAGATAGGTTAAATGAAGTGCAAAAGGGATCCTCATCTTCTGCAGAGAATATCCTGCTACTTCTCCAGAATCTCAACTCTATGGGCCAACAATAGCAGAAGATATAGATATGAAATTTCTTTCTTGTTCTTCCTTGATAAATATATGGGGCAGTTGAAATACAGCTAATCATGCAGCAAGTCAGTAACAATTGAAAACAGAGTTCTGGTGGAGGAAAGTGAAATGAGAAATTAGAGTAACAATGTAGTTTTATTAATCCTGCACAAGTTTCATAAGGCAAAACAATGTGATCTGAGTTCTTAGCTATTCACAGCAAAGTTTTACTCATCATCAAGTTAAAAGCCAAACTTCAGAGTGTTCACGTTTCAAACAAGTAAAATTTAAACACCACAGGCACTATATATTTTCACAGATCTAGAGGGCATGTTAAATCAGGAATCTGCCAGAGGAGAAGTAGACGGTGCAGCTATATAATTACCTTTATGTTCCACTAGACTGAGTCCCAGCTCTAGGAGATGTTAAAACTGCATTAGCATTAGCTAACGACATAGGCGTCAGTGGAGGAGAAGCAATATCTTTTTCATTAAGTTGAGGAGACTCCAGAAGCTTTGTGACATTTGCCTTCGTTCTGTAGTGGCTCGAAGGTATAGAGAAACTTCGTGGAACAGTCAATGGGGGAGTTGGCAAGGGAGATGCTGTATTGGAGGCAGCGAAGATGCTTTTATTTTCTACTGAAAACTCCGAGTTCTTTGACCCTAAAGGACCTGAAAGACCACTTGAAGCAGAGGATGTTGTAGGTTTGTTGGATACAATACCTGGAGGCCTAGGAAGTTCATGCAGCTCACTTATCTTGGGTGGTGATACAGATGGAGGAGAATGACGTGAGGATGTTTTTGGAGATGAAGGCTGAGGCAGCATGGGGCCAGAGGCTCGCAAGGGGGGAAGCTTTGAAGCAGGAATGGGGCCACTAGCAGAAAAACCAGGTTTCCCTGACCGGGAATTACTGCTTAAAGGACCAGAGAAAGATTGTCTTTTTAGTTTCTTATGATCAGATGTATCAACTGAGTCCCTCTGTTGAAATGAAAGTCCATCAGCCACAGAAGGGGGCAGAAGTGTAGAGGCTTGGTTTTCATGGCTGGTATCTCTCTCATCATTTAATGTGTGTGCTTTAAAGAAAGATAATGTCTGGTTATCCTCTTTTGAATCTCTCTTATTAATTTTGGTCTCCAAAGGAGATGAATGCCACATATTGTGAGTCGTGGTTGTTGGCCTTGTACGAGGAGCTGAACTTGTTCTTGAAGAATTGGAACTCTTTGCATCAGAAGGGGTAGGCAGTACATAAGCATGAAACTTTTGTGTGCGGGATGGACGCATTTGCCTTGCTCTCTCAGCTGGATCAAACTTTTTCTCTGGAATAATAGGTGCAGAGTGGCTGTAGCTGCTTGCCATAGGTTCACTTTCTAGCATTTGAGAATCTCCATGGACTTTCTCTAAACTGAACTGCAGCCAGAGAGAATGGCCTCAAACTTCAGAATAAAATAAAAGCCATACTTTCATCAATCATGTATCAGAAGTTTGTAAATTCAGAAGATGAAAATCTAAATCTGGAGATACCTCTATACTGTCCACGGTTGAGGCTTTAGGAAATAATTGGTCTTCTTGATCCAGCTGAAATGAGAGCCAATAAATATAGAAAATCAACAAGATACATACCTTCTTTAAAATGCAGTGACACATAGTTACTAATCCGCAAATTTAGTAAAAACAACCTTGAGAGGCCAAGAGTGCATGTGAGTATGGGGTAGATTTCAGGAGTAAACTACTCATTATTATTATTATTATTATTTAAGCAAGTAGATACAGATGCCAGATGCTACTAGAAATGCATAATTATTTGCAGGCAGCTAAGCACTTTTATGTGCAGTGACTCCTCGATATTGTCTCATGCTTTGACCTCATTTATTAAATCAGACAGGAGAAAGTATAATTAATCCTAGTGTCATACTACTTTATAAACACTTCTTTGAGAGTAAAAACATACTGCACAAATAAAATGAAAATCAGGTTTTTAAACTTTAACAGCCACCAGAATGTAATAGGTATATAAATATTCATATACTTCCTCCATTCCACAAATATTGCACCCTTGGGGGAGGGTGGGGGGACCAGAAATCTGGTAGGAGGAGAGAGAAAGGCAAAAGACAAAAGTGTCCTTGTCCTTGCAAGGAATGACTTTAATTAATAATTATATGCAAGTGGGGTGGGGGCACTTCACATGAGTTTTAGTAAGGGTGGATTGGTAAATGTACAAGGCAAAAGTCTCCTAAAAGGGATATGGTACAATAAATATAGAGTAGTAAACTTCCTAAAAAAAGGTAAATGATGCAATATTTGTGTAACGGAGGAAGTATAAGACTCATGACACTACATGTCTTCAAAACAGCATGAACCACCAGAAACATTTTGATCAAAGTTGTCAAAACACAGATAAACGCCCATTTGTTGAACCAGAATGACAGCTACCAACCATAACAGAGTTTCCATCCAGTACAGAGGCACGACAAGATCCACAGAAAGTTAAAAAGTAAAATGACTTCCATCTTCACGAACACTAATACATGTGAGAATTCTAGCAGCGACTTCAATAGCAAAAGAACTAGACCACATAATCATGTAACATGTGAAATTTATCAAGACAGGTATTAAGACAAAGAAGATATTACTCAAGGAAGAGCGCCAATTTACTGACTACTGATTATACAGAGGTTTATGAGGGAATATAAATACACACAGACACAACTCAATAATAGGCAATAAACCTTGGCATGCACTAACAGCTGAAACATTTAAGATACAATGATATCATTTCCTCAGATGCTCACCTCCATTGAGTTTCTAGATGTTGCAGCAGCTTCAGTTCCCATCTTATGTGGCCGATAGTCAAAACTTAATTCCCCGTTATCATTCGAATCATAACTATTTTCTCCCTCATCCTCCCCATCTAAACCCTCATCCAGCCCACTAAGCTGGTAATCTATATGTTGCTTCTCTGTAATCAACTTTACGAGTGGGTCAGCTGCCTCAAGTGACTTAAGTCCCTTTCTGAAGAAATTCAACTGCAAATCAAACATAGTAAATGTTTAGCGAGAAAGAATTCAGCCGTGGAAGCAGTACCAGTTCCATATAATATGATAATTCAAATTCATATGGAAAAACCTGAGATGTATGATGACGAGCTGCCTGTGTTAAGAGACTCCGAGACTGTCCTTGCTTTAGGGACTTCAACCGGAAAACACACAGTGTTGCCTCCTCTTCATATTCAGTGTGAGCTTGTTGCAATTGCTCTACAGAAAAACCTTCTCCTTTTCCACTTTTTGACCGTCCCTTTTCCTTATGTTGGGCTATCATGTATTCGTATACGCTCCTGAAGATAGTGTACAATATTAAAATAATTCAAAAAAAAAAAAAAAAAAGGACAGAAGTCCCAGAACCATACCTTTTTTCATCACACTGCTGTTTCATCTCCTATGTGAACAGAAGAAAAATACATCTAGTTAATTTCTTTTGATACAATAATGTTCAAACTTCAGATACAGAAGAGTAATCAGTAATCTTTACCAATCGTGGCTAATTAGTAAACCAAAACAATAAAATTTACATGAAATTTTTTAAGGAACTCAAGCTAATCAAACATCACAAGTCAAAATTCTAAAACAAAGAAAGCCTGCCCAAGTTCAAAATAAATTTACTGATGAAGCACATTTCATCAACGGTCAGAAAGAACAAGATTGACTGTGTTGATTGCTAGATAAGGATCATCACTTACTGCATTCACTAATCGCTATTAATTCAATGACCCTCGTCCTGGGACACAAATGTTTTGTTCCAGTCACCACTGCCCCAACTGTCCATGCTATCACAAACCTCGTTGGAATTTCGAGGTTGCAACAGGAAGTGGTTTGACAGTGTGTAGGGAACAATCAAGTGAAAACGAAGATCCAATGATGAGCTGCATAAAAGGGGTTGATTATAAAATAGCCAAGTAGAGGATATGGTGAAGCAAGACTTGCAGCGTAATGGAGCTCCCAGAAAACTTGTCTAAATCACTAGAAAGCAGCTTCATTGAGGATCTGCTATGATTCTTATAATTTCTTGCGACCACATGTACAAGTACAACAAAGCTTGCCAAAGAATCTATATTACTTGAGATATTTGTTGAGAATCTAACCAAGCTTGTCAAATAATCTGCTATGGGAACAATATTTTGTCGAGGATCGGATTCTAATAATTCTTATAATACCTTTTTTGTGGGTTAAGCACTTGTGAAGCTTGATACATTAAATTTTAAACTAATCTAATTCTTCGTTGTGCTACACACATGTACAGCTCAGAATGCTATAAAATTATGGTATATGTATCTTCTAATTCATGAATCATGAATATAAATCAAGTACTGCCTTAGCTATTTTCAGTCTGCACTCTAATCCACATGCAACCTCAGCTGGGGATAGTAAAACATCAGTCACAATTGAATCTTTTGTAACCAGCCTAACAATGAAACAATGTTGTAATCATGGTCTTACATCAACAAATAGGATTATCTGCATATACTTTAATATAAATAGATCCGATCTTAGATTACGCCCCAGGCACAAAAAAGAGCCAGATGTCAAGCCCACAAAAGCATTTCACAGCCCCAAGGAAGCTTAGAAGAGGTCGCAAGCTTCCTTAAACAATATGGTCTGTAGAAGTTAGGAATAGATTATTCATATTGTTGTAATATCCTATATATTAGCACAAGACTAGCATGACAGTGGTAAGAAGCAGAACCTAAGTAGCACAGCACGTCAGTGCTGTTGCTTAGTTACATAACCAGAGTTTAAAAATAAAAAAAAAATAAAAAAAAAAAGGAAAACAGTGCACTTTGGAGGAAATACGAATCATTTCACACAAACAAATTGCAAATAAGGTAACAGCAACAATAGGTAGCTTATATGAAGGTCATGATGGCAAACCTGTACGGTTTGAAGTTCATCAAGAAGAGATTCTGATGGCTTTGTAATTGTTAAGAAAATATGGGAGCGCTGCAAATATATAAGCAAAAGCATGAGAAACTTGTTTAAAACAAAAACTATTCATAATTAAGTAGCTGCAACTACTACTCACATAATGGTCAACAAGTTTCTGAAGTTCGAATTGAACCTTTCCCAGCATCATGAAAACCCTTTCTGCAAGGATTCAAAACATAACAAAAGAGCATTACTCACAAAATTTACAATACAAATCACCACAGTATAATTGTCGATACGACTATCTTGTTCTAAAATGAGGTGGAATAACTCCAACAAACATGCTGCAGAAGTAACTCTAAAGATTCTCGTGATTATGTTATACACAAAGTTTTGTCCATTATCTCCTTTGAAACACTCAGAAGAGTACACATTACTACATACAGCTGTTATAGATTTTAAATTCAGAAATATAGAAATGAGTAAGAATACGAGAAAGAGGGGAAGTTTGATAAATGGCTGTTTTAACAATACAATTAAATCATCAAGAAGGAGAAGTAGAATCCCAGGCCTTTGAGTAACTAGACAATCCCATTAATTAGCTAGAGAAAAAGTATCTTTAACTCAATAATTTATTCCTCTCACTGGCCTATATATTTACTGCCATTTTCCGTAGCGTCCCTATTCCTTGATCAGTCTATTCCTTAATTATCAACAAATCAAAGATAAAGTCTCCAGTGATCAAATCTCAACAGTCGAAAAGTACACAAGTCACCAATTTGCAAAAGTCTTTCCAGAGCATACAAACAAAAAGTTTAGACTGTTGATAGTAATAAGAAAACACAAAGCGGCAAGTATACACATAATACAAGCTACAATTTGCAATCGTAAAATAGGATGTGTCACATACTGCTCTCATCATCCTTGTACAAATCTGCTTTCTCCTGTAGACAGCCACCCATTTCGCGTAGGGACTCAGAGAACTCTGCAGGAACAGTAGAAGTTAGCAGTTTTGAAATTGGTTTTTTTTTTTTCAAGATGCAAGGAATTTAAATTAGTCAATAAAAAGACTGCCTGTTTGCACCAAAAAGAAAAAAACAACACTAGTTTCTCCTTTTCACAACAAACACCACCCCAAACCCTTCCAAAATTTATAATTACCCCAATGCCTCTATAATGGCTCCTCCTTCATCCTAGAACCTTACGTCCTAAACCCTTTTCGGTCTAGAAAAATTCTCAAACTTTATCAATCACAAGTACTTGAATAGAATCTCCCATTAGTCAAGCAAACTAATGTAGTGTGATCAAGTAAATTCTCACACAATATCCCCACAACAACTTCTTAGAAAATACAGTAGCTCTCTCTAATAGTTGAAAAATGCCAAGGAAAGAGGGCATTAAACAGCCAACAAGCTAGAAGAATTTGGTATCATTCTCAACTCTACCAAATTATCATAAATTGGAAGCTCCACATATTACTATTAGTAACTTCTTAAAGATCAAAGGTAATGTCCAATATTCCAATAAATAAGACATACGAAGTATAACGTAATTCATTAACATCCAAATATTTTGGGAGCGCATAATGGAGGCAAGAAAAAAAGGATGCTTTCCATGCAAAAAACCAATTTTCTTTTATGCTAGGGTGATCTTATAAAAGTAATTTATCAATCAACATCATCAACGTCTAAGGGGACATCACAGTTAGAGGCAAAGGACCTTGACAATTACACATGATTTGTACTTAGATATGAAAATAAGCCAAATTGCCAAGAGAAGTTAATGAGAAGAACCTAGAGGCCACAAGGTGCCTATTTCCCACATACGCAGGTAATTGAGCATAATGTGTGTCCTTACCTTTACAGATTCCCTTCATTGGGATGTTCTTATAAGCCGAGTAGGAAAGTATCCTAAGGTTAACATTAACTAGTTTTGTTGAGGACATCAAAATATCAACTTTCCTAGAGCCCTATTCTCAAAATGATTTGAACTGTTTCAAAAACCCAACATGCATTTTTTTGCATTGGGCTTTTTCATTAACTGATATAAATATCAGCTAGTCTAACATATTTTTCTTGATAGAAAGAAAATGGTTCCGTGTGCTCAGATTCATTATTCATTTGAACTTTGATTCAAAAGCACTACCAAAGTGTTTCAAAGAAGAGTTATCTTGACGTAGACTCTACCAAAAGTAAAATTTATACTGCAAATCAATATATCTAATACTCAAAAGAGTATGGCCACCAATACTAGCTAAGTTGACATAGAACAAAAAGGTTGCATCCCAATCTCTATTACAGAAGCTAACTGTTGATGAATATTGGTCTCCAAAATTTGAACTAATTGAAATGTCATAATTTCGCTACTCTCTTTTATATGAGTGGGTCTCATTAGGCAAGTAGTTGATCATCAACTTAAGTTCACAGCATGTACATATACTCTTTGAGTAGTTACATAGTTGCAACAACTGACAATTCCTTCTAATTCTCAATTTCAATCAAAAAGGACGAACCATAACAGTGACTGTTAGATAATGGCCCAATTCAACAAAATAGATAGCGAATTACAACCGCAATTACAATCTCATAATAGCAAACTAGGTACTAACACCGATAAAAACCTATATCGACATGCATTTCGATTATCGAAACATAGAGCTATAATCATACCGTATGCCGAATTTGCAGTAGCAGCAGCAGCTGAAAGCAAACTATCATAACAATTCCTCATATCCTGCATCTCCTGCAATCAGAAATCACAAAACGAACATAAAATCAATTTATTCACACATGCATCCTCACAATCTTTAGTTACAGTAATCAAGTTCACCAAACCCTAACTCTACTCATTACATTCACTCACAGCAAAAATTCACCCTACTCAAACAATTCAAACGGTTAAATCAACAATCGAGTTGACAAATTGCAGAAATTTGAGAAAATGCAGCTCATAAAAATTCAATCCAAAATTAAATTCAAGCATCAACAAATTCAATTAACAACATTGCAAAGCAATTTTCCAAATTAATCGAAAAAATTCAAGAAAACAAAAAAAAAAAAAAATGACCTCAGAAGCAAGAGCAAGATGATCGAGTTTAAGAGGAGGAGGATGAAACTCTTTCCTATCTTTTCCATCGTTTCTCTGGAATGCAAATCTCTTCAGCTTTCCTAACGACGACTTCATTTATATCAATTCAAAAAAAAAAAAAAAAAAAAAAAAAAAAAAAAAAAAAAAAAAACCTAGTGAAATTGTTGAGTAGAGCAAAGTGCAGAAATGAATTGATTAATTAATTAATTACAGAGGAAGAAGAAGAAGGAGGAGAGAGAGAGAGAGATTGAGGAGAGAGAAAGTGAGGGGGTGGAATCACATGATCTGTTGAAGGTATTTGCAGTAGTAAAGAACGGAAGAGAGGAGGAGAGAGAAAAGAGAGTCAAAAAAGGGGTACGCAGTAAGTAATAGTAATAGTAGTAGAGCAGATCAGCAGAGCCGGAGGAAAAGGAAGGAAGGAGATGATCAAACTCTATTTTTGGGTCATTTTTGGGCTTATACGCCCTATTACTGTGTGTACTCACCGACCCACTTCACTCTTTTCCTGAGTCTGTCTTTTATGTTACGTTATGTATCGTTATGTATGTAGTTATTAGGGGTCAAATAAATACGGTTTAAAATCGAACCAAACCGTAAATCAAATTGAATCAGTAATGCGGTTTGGTTTTTTGTTATATGGTTCAGTTTGGGAAATAAAAAATATACGGTTTGCGGTTTTGGTTTTGATTCTGAAAAACTGAAAATTTGTGGTTTAGTTTGGACCGAATAATAATATGGTGCAGAGCGGTTTACAAAATTCCAAATCGAATTAATATAGTTTGGTATAAAACTAATATAATTTTTATTAATATAAAATTATATCTATGTCAGTCAAACCTATGTAATCAAACACAAGAATGTCAAAAAAAAAACAAACACATAGAGTATACAACAATTGCATGAATATTTTTTACACTCTTATTAGAGTCTTCAGGTGCCTCGAGTTGAAACTTTTGACACCACCGTTTTGTTCTTCCCCTACCAAAAATTTTTAAATAAAAAATTATTAAAAAATAATAACAAAAACTGAAGTTAATTTTAGACCCAAATGGTCGATGACCCAAATCCTCATACCGGCCCAATTTCTAGTATCATAAATTAAACTCTTATAAGTATGGAGATGTTCGTATTGCTATAGTCCAATTCGGTCGTTGATTTTTGTTCTTAATACTGTATTAAGGGTTAACTTATAATGATCTCAATTTTTGATAATTTTCAATATATATTCGGATGTAATGTAATAAAAAGAATTTTTAAGATGAGAGTTTGTACATGGAGTGCATAATACACTCGGGTATGATATAATAAACTATTATTAATAATGTACGCTAGTTCTGGAGATTGCATTATGTAGAGAAACCAACTCCTTTTTTTTTTTTTTTTTTTTTTTGACGGGTTGAGAAGCTAGCTAGGAATCTCACAATCATGTGTACAGAACTAGAAGGGGCAAAAAAAACATACAATGAATCCAAATTGTGTATTTATGTTTACTATGATAAGAAAAAATTGTTGATCTCCTAATCCTTTCGTCTGTCAACTGTTCCATCGGCATGCTTCTTCTTGTCGGCGTCGGAATCGGAGAAACTACCGTTACTATTGTAACAGCCAACCGCTGCTCCGAACATGGTCTTCATACCTATATGTTTGGGTAATATTCCTCGCAGCCTACACCATATGTTTGGTTTGTTGGTTGATTCTACCTGGAAAATGAACATGCAACGTAACTTAAGGTTAAAGATCATAATGTAAAGTCTTCATGAAAATTAAACCCTACATTAACTAGTACTCATGCTTTATGGATTGCATAATCTTAATTGTATCAAACCTTATCTAAGTATCTAAGTTTATGTTTATATGATTAACAGATATTTGACGCATATCACTATGGCACAGCTCATAAGGTATTGTATATAGGGGGTCGTGATGGACAGACATGTAAACGAAATTTGGTGTAAGTTCTTTGGAATCACAATCCACTTAAAAGTCTATTATGCCGAAAAAGAAAATAATGCATATCATACATGATTATATGTCAACTTATGTACTTTTAAGTTTGAATGCCTAAGACTCTTGGTTATGAAGTTTACCTGGTCTGTATCGATGGATGTTGTTGGCTGTTCATTTTTAAGTTCTCCAATCTCAGAGTTATCTTCATTTGAGTTCGATCTTGATCTTTGTTTATCTGCAAAAGTACAAAAGTATAAGTTTCCAATTATATAAATAATTTTACTAAGAATTGTAATTTGTGCTTCATAAGGTCATTGAATGAGATTTCACAAACAAACAAACAAAAAAAAAAAAGATTGATAATGAAGCATATAATTAGGGCAAAAAATCATCTTTCTAATCATTAATAATGTTGAAAAATATCATAAAATTCACAACAAGAACACGTGGAATATGATTGCAAAAGGTTATATGTGAAAGCGAGCAATAATCTTTGTGTAGACTCATGTCAAATTTTAACTAGTATTGATAGTATAATGAAGTGCGATGATCAATCATACAGAGTAAATGTTATATTGAGTTTTGGAAATGAAAAATAAAAATTACCATCAATTATATCAGATTGGGTTACATACACCTTGAAACTAGGTGAACGAGATATTTTCATAAACTCCTCATGACTTTCTACCTCGTCTTCATCACCAAAACTATAACTAATTTGATTATCCGGCTCTTCTTTCTCAAAACCTACTTTATTCACCTCCTTGATTTTTAGGTGATCCTCATTAGGCAAAGAACTCACTGATGAAGACGATAAACTAATAATTGTTGGTTCATTAGGGCCATGGCTAAGCAAACTTTGGCGGGAGAGGATTGAGTCGAAGCTCGTGTTACGACGCACAATCTTGATGGCCTCATCACCACCACCATCCGTCTTACGACGATTCCAAAACTTGCAATAATGCCTCTTGTTGTTGGTTACACTTCTTGTAAACGACATCTTTGAGGTTGGAAACCCCATGCTATTAGCTAGCCCCAAACCAAACAATTATAATGTGACCATTAAGTTGGTTGTTCGTGTTATATCAATTAGTGCTAGAGGTTGCATGCTCATCCATATAACCAACTCAAAAGTTTAAAGATTGATTACTCAAATTATAAGGGCTATGTAAATAATTGCTAAAGACTAAATTAAAGAGGTAAAATCACTAATTAAGATTAAGAATGATAAAAATATTTAATGGATAAAATTATATGACTAGGTTGCTAATCTTATTTAAATATATTGACTTTTCTTTGCCAATATTAGGTGTATATAACTAGCCTCAGCTGGAATAATGATGTAAGTTACGTGCCATATAGATGTCATTCATCTATTATTTTTTAGCACAAGATGTCATACAACTAATTAAGAAACTTCAGAAATAACTTGCTCGTTACACACCATCTAATTTTGGTTGTAGAGGAGATATAATTAGAAGTTTAGATTACATGCTTGCGGATAATATATTAGCTACTTGTTCAATTGAATTGGTAGTTTCACCCTTATTATATCGATTAATGATTTACTATATATTATGTAATAGATGAAATGATTGAGACATTAATTAAATTCACTTAATAAACACGCAACAAATTCATGCAAAATTAAAGGAACACGCGAAGCAATATGATGGGTGAGACAAAATTTGCAATTATTCGTGTTATATGACACACGATGGGTTTTTTTAGGAATATCTAGGCAATCTGCATAATCGAGCCATTCATATGTGCAACACTTGGAAATTAAATTAAATTAAATTCATTTGCTTTAAAACTATTCACTATGTATGAACGTTAATTTAAAGGTTTTATATATTTCCCTTATATGAGTGATGCTTATTCTTGTAGGTTTTGTAGCTTAGCATTGTACAATACATGAATACACATATTCTATAAATTAATTGCAACACGTTAACCATTGGTCTCTTCAAAATTTTAATACCTCAAAGTTATCAGTAGTAATTGCTAGCCCTCCTATGATTTTGTTATATGAGTTGTCCCTTCCAATGACAAAAATTCAAGGGAAGATTAGATCTCTTTATTTCAATCCTTTAACATTTTATTTAGTGCTCAAACAATTTATTGTTAGATTTCGTGGAAGCAAAACAACAAGAAGAAAGATATATTCAAATCAAAGGCGTGGAAAAGAACATGAGGAGGAATCTCTCTCCCTTGCCGAAAGAGTGGAAAAACCATCACTTATTCACTAAATAATCTGAGCAATATAATGACTCCCTTTAGTGCTTTCTCAACTCACCAACAACTACAAAATCCCCTCTTAAGAATGATTAGTTGCATCATTTAAAATAGACAGTTTGTTAATACACTACTTTGACCATAATTATATTTAATTATGCTTTTATAAAAATATAAAAAAATATGATAATATTATGATTTTGAGAATAAATAATGAAATTAACTCAACAAAAATATAATGATAATTTTTTTCTTCTACTATGTATATACTTTTATACTACCTCCGATTATTTTTATATACAACTTTGGAATATTTTATATCTTTTAAATAATACTCGAAAGTTGCATATAAAAAGTGATCGGAGGTAGTATATTTCTCGTAATAATCATATAATGTCAAAGTAAGTATAAGGAAATTTAAGCTAAAAATCCATTTGTTCCATTAAGATACCATACGCATATTCTGTTTTCATATTCTAAGATCTCGAATAAAGCATAGATTTTTATCCCAATACAGCCGAAAGTAGTTGAGTAGAACTTATAAGTTATAACTACTCCGTAAGAAAGATGTAGCAAGCAAGACATAATCATAAACCTGCAAGAAAACGCGTTCGGATGTTCCGGTTCCACACATGCACAACAGTGCATTGTCCATTAAACTAGCTTATGCCTTTTCTCCTCAGCCTATTGCACAAACATACCATAGGCTTGTTCCGATTGACCGATTCTCCTTGCTCATCTAATTCGCTCCATCATGACTAGAACCACTAACCGAACCCAGGCCATCATGTGTCTCGAGCCCATTGTCGTGTTAAGCTTGTAAGCTAACACGTACCGAGTCCACCTGACTGCCTTGTAGGAGCATTAAGTTGAATTCAAAGTGAGTTGTTAAGTAGACTCTTATTGACGTTGTTGGCAGTGAGTAGGACGGTCAAGTAATAACATTTAATGTAAATGAATAACAATAATTTTGACATTGTTGCCAGGCTTGCCACTACATCTAATTTAATTAAGCACTCCATTATTTCCATTTATCATAAGTTTCAATTAAGTGATCACAAAATCTTTATTCGTTGCTTTGTTTACTAGCGAGATTAAAAACTATCTAGTCTAAGAGTACCATAGATGGATGCCAAAAAGTTGTTACTGCGAATGGTGTATTCAACATTAAAAACTCTCTTACATGTTGATAGTACAAATCGCATACGCTTAAAATTAAATCTTAATGGAGGTTAACCTTCATGTGGTGGATACTATGTACAGAGTTAAACCATGATTACAAATAATGTGGCTACCTCCAAACTCAATTATCTAGTGAGTGGTACGTGAATCCTAATTCAAAATGAAAAATTCCGAGAATATTTAAAGATTGGCTTTAACATCATAAGATAAGATGCAATACAAGCTCCCCTAATTCAATCAATTAATCAATTTTTCACTGCTGTATTAACTCAGGAATAAGCTTAAGCAGAAACGAAAGCTCTGTCTGAGAAAATTGCGGCTTTGTATCTTCCTGTGATGAAACTTCTTCCTCTGCCTTCACTGGCTTAATTAGATTATTTACTGCTTCTGTTATGTCTTGAACAAAATCGACTATCACTCCGTCGATCCCCATCAAATGTTGCAGGTAGACTGATTCCGATACATTACTGTCAAACACCAATCACAAGAATAAAGATTAGTCATGTTTATAATAATGCAGCAGACTTGAAAATTGAAACAGTTATTTCAACAGACTGTAAAAGATGGACTGATGGTGCTTACTTTAGAGTGCCGTAAGTGAGTAAAGAGAGCTTAGAGTCCTTGATCTTGCTCACAGCTCCAGGGTTTCGGAACACCCCCTTAACCTCGGAAACGATGCCTTGTAAACTGCCTTCTAGACAAAGCTTAATGGCTTCCTCTAACGAGTTTCGTCTAACATCATAGTAAGCCTCAGTTCCTCCATTTGTCAAGAAAAATACAGGGTATGTACCCTGTAGTTTCCTTACTAGAAGGGCCGCGTCTGGCTGGAATGTCGAAAATATTATAGGTCTATCCTTGGCAGACTCATACACAACCTATAAACCAAAACATACACAAATTTGGGTTAGACTTTCTGAAGGTTATACTCCCTCTATCTTAAAATCATAAGACACGTTTGATTGGTGTCACGTGTGTGTGTATATATATATACCTGTAAGACTGATTGAAGAGTATTGACGAGTTGATCTTCTTGGTAAACAATATGATCATCGAATTTCAACTCAACATTAAAACCCAACTTAGGATCAACCTTGTCGAAGGCCTCTTGCAAGGTGCAAAGGGTGTCATCAGAGTTGACATCCCATTTAGTGATTTTGCCATCCTTGTTTTTCCTCAAGAGTGGTTTAGAGACATTTCCTGCATCCTTTTGTGGACCGTAGGTAAGAAACTCGTTTAGAGTTAAGTCTGTCACTCTCTTTTCATATACTATGCCCTGTTTTATGCCACAACACAAATATATTATGGTTAGTAAGCTAATCCTAAAGTAAGCACTACTTTGTAGAGTAAAAGCAAGAATCAAATTGAATGGATGAACTTACATGTTCCTCTGTGTAGATGTAGTCATCGTGGAAAATAATTGGGCATCCATCTTTTGTCACCTATAATAATTGCATTATATTGTCATTAGAATAAACTTTAAAATTCCTTTTGATACAAAGAATTTTAAGGCATTTATAACAATAATAATAATAATAATAATAATAATATAATAATAATAATAATTGTTTATCTATATTGGATCATCATAAAATTATACTCAAATACGTCTTCCTAGATTTACTAATTAGACAATATCTCGTTAAAAATTATAGATATATAGGCACGGACTAAAACCCCGAGATAATATTCTATGGCTTGTACAAGTGACAATAATTGGTCAAAGATTTCTAAATTGTAAGGAGTATAGTTTTAAAATAAATGAAGAACTCTTTAAATAGTAAGAAGAAAAACCTTAATCAAACCTAAACTCTCGTGATTTTATCTAAAGTACTCCGTAATCTACCTGAGTAAGAAATCAAGACAGTTGTGCTACAAATTTTTGGGTTTTTCTAAAAAAAAAAGTTTTGCAAAATTAGCAAATTGAGAATCGCATAATTAGGGTATGTCACGTGATGACAGTTAATACCACGTGATCCACTACAGGTCTACAACTAAGTTTATGGTGTCCATAATTTGCCGGGAAACCAGCTGCAATTGTTTGACCCTAAAATATTTTTTTTTTATTTAAAAAAAAAAAGTAAATTCCTAAACTACCCTCCATAAGACAACATAAACAACTCTGATTGACCAATAATATTCCAGACTGAACAAAATACCGTTGGAATATTCCTATTTCCAAACTCCCAACGACTACCTTTACGGCGTTTTTATTAACTATATGCGGCAAATCACCGCCGCACACCCTTTTCCGGCAACACAAAATCCAAAATAAAAAATAAAAAAAAATTATAAAAAATCTTAAACAAAATTTCATAAAAATTAACAGAGATTGGATCATAAAGAAAAAAAATATACCTGAACGTCAAATTCGACGTAATCGAGGTTGAAGGAAGCAGCAGCATTAAAAGAAAGAATCGAATTTTCTTTAATCGACTTCATCCTAGGATCGGAAGACAGTAATCTATTCATCCCACTCCCACGATGTCCGATCACCATGAATTTTCCCGCTTTTAATACGTTACTCTTATTACCAACCTCCACCCCTGCATTATATTATACGATCAAGTATTAGTTTATTATTATTCGGACAATGTCTCGAGTTATTACATGTAATATTTAAAAAAAAAAAAAATAGTACCTCTCGGTGAGAACCGGGAGGAGAGAAGAGAGGCGGATTCCGGGACATGATCAAGATTCGGAACGTCGGAAACGTGAGCAGCCTTCAAAGCAGCCATTTTTGTGAAATTTAGAGAAGAGAGATAGTGTTTAGAGAGAGAATAATAATTAAAATAAAATGGGATTACGCCAAGAAAACGGGGGTTTATGTAAAAAGAAGAGATTGTATTGAATTTGCAACAATGCATAATTTTTGGGGGGTTTTATATGAAAAAGGAGAGAGAAAAAGTTTGAAGAAAAAAAAGGTAAAAACTCGGGTTATGTTTAAGCATAAGCGGGAAGAACCTAAGAATATTCCTAACGAATCTTCTTTAAAAAGGGTATTATTTCTTCATTGATCCGTTTGTCATATTCTTTTGGATATTCTATTTGGCTGAAAAAAAGGAAATTAATTTTACTAATCATAAAATGAAATTAATATGGTAAGATTTGGAGATTATTCAAAATTGGATTTAATTAGTGTGTGAATAAATTGGAAAATGACAGGTGGAAATGTGCTGCCCAAGTTTGAATTGGGTGGTGGTTGAGGAAATATGGATCATGATTTTGTCATGTCCTACGAGGATAGATAATAAGATTATCTATACACCTTTGACGTCCAATTTTCGTCCAATCTTTGTTATTTTCTTTCCGTACTTTATTTTATTCGCATATTAATTTCATATTCTTTTGCTTGTAAGATCAATGAAAGTTCCTGCCAAAACATTGCATTAAATAATACCACCTTCCACCTGTTCGCTAAAAACAAGTCGATCTTTTGATTATCTTTAAATAATACCATCTTTGGGGGTGTCCGTTTTAAACAAGTTATTTTACCTACAACCTGAATAACCGGTTAATTTTTTTTTCTTTATAATAAATTCATTTAACAATGTAATTAACTCTTAATAACAACTATAATTATGATTTATTAACAATTAATATATTTTTAAAAAAATTCTTATGATTTATTAACCTCCACCCACCTTGTCTCAAAAACAATAACCAAACCTAGCATCCTCCTTCACAATCAACCACTACCAGCAACATCTGCTATCTCCACCGTTGCACCAAACCGCCACCAATCCCAATAGCCTCACCACCAAAAACACACTCAACACCGCCAATTCAGCCTCACGCGGCACCGTCAGCAACACCACCACATCCAGTCCCTTCGCCAATCCCACCCACCACCGATTGAACCAGCCATCCTTGTTTCGGGGTTTTCTGATGTCCTGCGGGAGAGTTACAATTCCGAGACTGGAACCGGACGCCTGTACCTGCAAAACAAACGGATGCTCCGGATGATTGGAGATCTGCCTCCGACGGTCAAGTTAGTACTTGTTTGAGGAGTGATAAATGCGGAAAGTAAAGGTGGGAGATCTGGTTCCTCTAGGGGAGGAGTGATCAATGTGTTTAGACTTCTCTAGGTGAGAGTCATCAATTGCTGAATCCCCTTTAATGAGGATTAATTAAGTATTTATAGTCTTGAGAAGCGTGCCAATTTTAGGTTTAGGTTAACCAGGGCAAATTGGGCTTCTCTCGGACTTTGGGCCTTGGTGGCCATTTTGCCTATTTGGCATATGGGAGGCCACGTGGCGTGGCCTGATCAGTCCATGTTGGACCTCTTAGGGTGACAAATGGCGGACGCTGATTGGCCCACGTGGTGGACACGTGGCAGGTCCGGATTGGTCCATTTGTCATGGGTAATTTTTACCCTAAACATTTGCCCCTCGGAAGGAGTAATTTCTCTTTCCAGGAGGGATTGCTCCTTTCGAAAGTTAGACCCCCGAAGCTTTGCTAGGTCGGCATCTTGTCTAGTTCTAATGGGAGATGGACTTGATTAACTTAGAAAATTTTGATACCTTGGGCGGTATGACATTTTGAAAGTTAATCAATCATAATAATGATTGCCGCCGAACTAGACAGATGTCGATTCTTTGCTCCACTATGCAGATAGCCCCTGATCAGGTGGACTGTCAACTATTGCATAAGGGGTAAGCGTTTTAGCATTATTCGGTCATTGGCCTCTTTTGATTCAATATACTAAGTTCGGTACTTAATTTATTTCGTTGGGGGATGGCTGGTCGTCTGCTTTGGTGGCTGCATAGAAGCAGGCGTCAGACAGGACGTCCAACCAAAGTAGCTACGTCTGTTGGGTTACAGACGGCAGCTTTAAGTATAGCCAACCTAGTAAGAATAGTGGTCGAGTACCTCTGTTTACCAAAAAACAGGCGGACTCCTCATACCTTTTAGGTTCCGTACTAAGGAGGGCGACTGGTTAACCTTGCGGTTAGTCAATCACTGCCTATTTTGTTTGAGTGGTAGGGAAACCAGGCGGCGGGGGCCGAATAGTCCCCTTGATTCGCCAAGTTTTGCTTGGCTATTAACTCAAAGGTTGTTAACCTAGCAGGAGTAGTGGTTGAGAGCCCCTGTTTGCTAAAAACAGGCGGGCGACTTATACCTTTTAGGCTCCATACTAAGTTTGAGAGAGTGACTATGAGTTAACATGGGAGTTACTCAGTCTCCGTCACTCTCTGGCTTGAGTAGTAAAGGTACCAGGCGGCGGAGGCCGGCTGATCCCCTTGATTCGCCAATGTTTGTTGGCTATTAGCCCAAGGAGTGGTTACCTAGTAGGAATAGGGGTTTGAGTGCCCCTGTTTGCCAAAAAACAGGCGGTCTACTCAAACCTTTTAGGTTCCATACCAAGTTTGAGGGAGTGCCTATGAGTTGACTTTGGTGTTACTCAGTCGTCGTCACTCCTGCTTGAGTAGTAAAGGTACCAGGCGGCGGAGGCCGGCTGAACCTTTTGATTCGCCAATGTTTGTTGGCTATTAACTCAAGAGGTACCCCCTGCATTTATCCCAAGTAATACAGGCGGTCATCTGACTCAGATGTCAACTGCTACCACTGGTTTGGTTAGTGATAGAGTTATCCTTGTCTCAAAAACGGCTACGTGGTTGCCCTTGGGGACAGTCGTATAGGTGCCGTGTAATTAGTTTATAGAGCAATGTTCCACCCAAAAGGGAGCTGCTCTCTGCGACGAATTTCATCCGGAGGGATGCCGCCGGACGCCTGCTATGATGTTGGGACAGGTCGTATTAGTTTAAAGATTGGATCAGTTGGCTTGGCGCCTGGACTGATCATTCGGCTTGTGGCCTTGGTTAGTTCTTGGTGAACGTAGGTGCTAAGTAAGAGGAGGGTAGCCGCCTGTTTAGGCACAGGGTCGGCCAGGCCCTGATCATTTTTTAGCTAAGTATAGGGGGGGTGGCTGTCTGTTTTGGAACCAGCCGGCCCTCTTCTATGGAGAGTAGCCAACTGTATGTCCAGACGGCATGCCCCTATGGTGATAGAGTAAAATATTCAATGGAGAGTAGCCGACTGTAAAGGTACAGGCGGCATGCCCCTCTGAAGATAGAGTAAAATACTCAATGGAGAGTAGCCGACTGTAAAGGTACAGACGGCATGCCCCTCTGATGATAAAGTGAAATACTCAATGGAAAGTAGGCGACTGTAAATGTATAGGCGGCCTGCCCCTCTGAATCAGTATCAAGTATTGAAATCATTTCAAGTGTTAGAGCAGATGGATCACCTAGTTCCCTTCCATAAAGGATGGATGGTGTTATTAATGAGAGTCGGCTGCTTTCATAGCTACGAGACTTCATTGTATAGGGGGTCGACTACTATTCATGCCGCCTCTCTTGCTTGATAGACTTTAGGCAATATTCTTTAAATGAGAATGACAAGTGATCACATAACTGGGATAATCATAATAATGATTGAGGTAGCTTTAACAAGGCTATGAAACCACGCAAACCATAGAACCAGACATTCGGCATGCCGCCTGTTTTGAAAAACATCCTATTCTTTGATGGATTTCATGCCTCCTGCTAGCCTATTTGTGAGGACCAATGAAGGTGCCATCGAAGTGTCGGCTACCCAAGCTAAAGCGTCCACGAGAAGTTGCTAGATTTTATTGCGCATCCGTTCACTAAAATAAGAGTAATAAAGGTTCTGACTTATCAAGAAATTGCCGGTTGTTCTCATGATGATTTGCTTGATGATCTCGGCCATCCATGCTTATTATGGCTTGTCTAACAAAATACGAAGGTTGCTCTGTTTTTCTCATATCCAACCAATAAGGGCTGCCCACTTTAGTTAACCACTGACTTTTAAGTGAGCATGTGCCACTTGCTTTGTAACATTGCTAGCTCCATTGCAGGTTAGTGGCTTTCTTGCTTTCCTTGCTTAGCCAAGTTCGAAGGTTAACCACCTTACCGCCTGTTTACATGTGAACAAAGGTGTCGTTTAATCATGGCTTTGTTCATTACATCACAATACAATAAGCCATAATGTAAATGCCAGCTGAAGCTAGGTGACTAGCGCATGATGCCGGTTGCATGCTATTTACGTGCTTGGCATTATTTAGACAAAAATGATCATAAGACTCGGCCCCTATTTAAAAAGTATGAAGACCCACTTTTGCTCATGCCCTTTCAACCAAGTGTCGGTTGTTTAAGGTGAGTCTAGCTGGGACTGGGCTTGAGTCTTGAAGAGCACTTGTGGCCGCCTATTTTCATTAACAAGGGTGGCCGACTATTTGATTTTATTGAGCGTCTGAGCACCGAATGCCGGCTGAAATAAGAGCAATGAGGATTCCCTAACTTAGCAAGTTGAGTTATATACTCTTGGGCTCATAAATTTGGCTTGGATGATCACTTCATGCAGCTCTTCAAACACATGGATACACACTTGGTTGGACGAATGGATAGCTTAGCATCTACTTGGCATGTACTCGTACCCAGCATCAACGTCAAATCTCAGCATGATATTTGAACTTAGCACGATAATTGTGTTTCATGTGCCGCATGTTTTACTATGGCTAGCTTCTTTGGTTGAAGTGCCCCCTGCTAGCTTGAGCTACGACACCTAGATGCCGCCTGCTCTCGAATGCTTCGACCATCTGAACTCAGCCAAGCCGGATGTGTTTTTTAGAGCCGCCTCCTTGCTGTGTTGCTAGGACTAGGCCGGCTGTCTATAGACATACAAGGGACTTGCTGTTGCGTGCATACACATGGTGGCTGTTTCTTTACAAACAATAGCAATGTGTCGTTTGATTCTTGATGTTTACCCATGATACTATGAAATTTCAAAAGGCACTCATTTTGAGCTTACATGGTGCTTTGGTAAGGATGCCGAGCTGCTCTTCTCAATGGAGCTAACTTTCAAAATTTTATTCGGCCACATGATGCCGTATGATCAGCTTGCCGCTTGTTTTAATTATGTTTTGATCGTGTTGGGCATTATTTAGACCAAAGTGATTCAAGACTCGACCCTCATTACAAAACATGAAGACCCATATCACCTCACGCATTACTTGATGCGT